GCACTGTCTGACGCGTCTGCCTCCGCGACCCGAAAGGAGAAGCGGCGATGGAAGATGAAGATGAAGTTTATTGAACTAGAGCAAGGATCATGCCGATTAGGAAGGCATTCCGGATGTGGATATTTTTTATGACACATTACAATCATGTAAACAACCACTTAAAGCATCTTACATTTATTCACCTTGCTCTGAGTTGTTTCCACTGTTGCTGCTTAGATAAGATATTTTTTTCCAATAGTTAGAATTTTTAAAGCTACTATGCTAGAATTTCACTCGATGACGCGGCTGTTGGTGATTGCCTTGATCTGCTACGTAGTAGATCAATCACTCTAAAATGCAAATTATTTTACTGAAGCGCCTTCAATTACAGAGATCCCACATGTTTGTCAATCTGGCGGAAACATTTAACGTAACAAATGGAAAAAGATTTTGTCAACATGCAATCCCCCGAAGCATACGTGCGATGGAACTTGGCAACAAACTCCATAACTTTTTAAAGCTTGCTAATCCTAAAAAAGAGAAGAGGGAGGCAGAAACGAAATTTTAGGAGTTGATCATGTGTAAAGCTCCAGTATGTTGAAACACTTTTAATAGGCATCGCAACGAATGGAAAAATATATAAACATGGATTTGCATTTGAACGGTGATTGAAATTGAATGTACGAATATCAGAAATTTAAAGAAACCATGAATTTTGAAACAAATTTATTACTATCTGCACATATAAGCTGAAGTATTGAATGGTTGGAATGCACATAATTATAACTGACGCAAGAATAATAAGGGTAAGCCGATAGAATAAATTCAAAGATAATAAACATATTACCATACAAATTTACAACAGCCATGTTCATTCACTACATCATATGAGAGAATCTGCATCCATCCATTTTGTCCAGAACTTCTTTCATTTACGCCATCAAGCGCATGCTGCTGACAGCTACACAAATGCTGCAGTGTAGTACTTTATTGGAAAAAGCACAGACACATCATGCCACAAAATGATGATGACACTCCGAAAAAACGATGTCCAACCGACTGAATGAAAGACAATACGAATGAATTCAATGAATAAACGATAATTGTTACTTTGAAAAAACGGTAGGCAACACAAGCATTCCTGAAAATCTGGGTCACTTACCAGGTATTATATCTGCATAAATGATATCAGAAAAAAAAATCTACGTATTGCTGACAGCAATGATAAGACGACTAAGTGTAAGAAAGAAGAGGCAATTCGATGCGGACCCCTGCCCACGCGTCCGCACGCCCCCTTAGACGTGAATCAAATGAAAGGGGAAGCTATCACCTACCAAAAAGCACCGGAAACGTAAACTGAACAAAAAAGAAAGCGCTCGACCTCCGCACCTCGCACAGTATAGCCAGCAGGTCCGCAGATTGATCCCGGACGATGAACAAAAAATCCACAGGCTTATAAAAGAACCAGTCAACGTTGGAATGTGCAGATTATGGTGTTGATATGAGGACTAGAATATTTTGTGTAGGCCGTGGTTGCCATTTCTATGTATGTTGTACATGCAAGTAAAGTCATGTGATCATATTCCGCGTCCTGTTTCTTAGCAACTCTCAGCTAGTGCAGTATTTCAATGCGTTCAGAACTACGACAATAGGATGAATGAAAAAGTTTTGAATAAATTAGAGTGATGCAATACACCTTCGATGCATATGCTTATGCTGCATTAGATAATTTAAAACAGCCTTGATAATTTGGAATTGTCCCTTTGCAAACATTGTTCTTTTGGGAAAAAACAATGCAGATACTTGTAAATACCGTGGTCTCTAGAAGTCGAATCGGCGTTTGGAATATGAAAAAATTTCAATCATACATGTTTATGTTCTGCAGTCTTTGCTGAATTCCGACAGAAAAGAATTGGAAGGTTGTGCGAAGAAAATTGTCGTATCCAGTTGAACGAAAGTCATTCAAAGAAATTCTTTGATGTGCAATCAAAGACAAGATGGTAATAGTTTCAATGTTCAAGTAAAGTGATATTTTCACTTTAACTGCAGCGTTTTTGTTTACTTATATTACATTAAAATCTAATTGAACATTGGCTCGAGTGCGATGATTAGCCAGTCGTAAAATTAATGAACATTTTCATAAACACTTCTTTGAGAGTGTTTTCAATTCTTATATTGGGAGCGAATGCATGTGCAAATCACAAATTAAATTGACTTTGCTGCAGCTCCATCGGTGCACTAACAGGATTATTTGGGAAAATATGGTAAGTCCTGCTGCACAAGAAAAAGAAGTTAATTCGCTTAGGGTAAAAATTTTACACCAGCAGGCAGCAGTATTTCTGTAAAATATAATACATGACGTACGAACGAAAGGACATCAAAACTTGAGCACTGCGACCGCAAGCTGTGTAACATTATATCATACTTTACTATACCATAGATAATAACTTTAGGTAAGTCAAAAACGGGAATACAGCGCATAAAATAGTCTTTAATTATTGACGTCTGACGTTTCGGACCGAGCCTAAGATTTGAATTGATGAAGTTTTGTTACACACGGTGCTGTACAAATATTCCTATTGGACGATTTAGATAGAAAGATTTAGTAACGTGACATTATCTATTCATAAATCTTGCGAATCTGAATCTGCTTTATGGTATATAGCAAACGCGAGGCCTCTCTAAATGCGTCTTCGAAAGCATTTCACAGAAAGTTTTCAGAGTATTATTAGCCATTGCTGTATGATAGGCAACGATATTAACCTTTTAAGAAGAATGTTCCTCGCGGATTCAGTTACTGCGGTGAACGGCATCAGAACGACGCCTGTCAGGTTCCCCATCTGCTATCGTATAGTGATGCGCTGTTTTCAAAGTTATCGTAGCTTAAATCGTTGTAATTACCGAAATGACTTACTTTTGGCAACTTTTCCGGTGCTGTATGTTTACTGTTAGAGTTAAAACATTATTCGTTTGATTAGACCCCTAGTATTATCAGTAGCTTGATGCCCTGTTGATGGTTGGATAAACGGCAGTTACTGACGTGGTTTTCAGGGGACATGATGCTGTCATTTTGATGTATGATTAACAGTTTGAAAAGTGAAAAATGCCTAAAAACGGGTTACTTATACACAAAGCAAAGTATAAATTGGTCGGCCGGGTGACTGACGAGAATAGTCATTTCGGCTAGTCTCTCAAGCCTTCAGGATGGTTATTAAAGTTGGTTGTGGTCTGCAGCTGTTGTGACTTATGAAGCCGAACAAATTACTCAGTTTATGGATGCCGAACAATTTGTTGATTTGAAAGGTTTTGGGAGACAGGTGACATGGACTGCAGTCTGTGAACCAGCTATTTGACGACTTAATTTTAATGTATTCAGATAACTTTTATAAAGTGTGTGTTTGCTTTGTTAGCACTCATGGTGCCATTTTTTATTTAAACTGTAGCGCAAATCCCGAAGCAAAGGTCATAAATATAATTATAGAATTATACAGTCTTAGCCATGACAATTGTATGTAGCTGGGTAAGATGGTTTTGCAGTTAACATATTTTCATCATTCAAAGATTGTGGTTGTTTGAAACGCCACTTTCGTCGAGGGTCGGTCAGTGCCATATAATAGGCAGTGCAAGATTTATGATGCTAATTTGACGTATCGTTCTGGGTCGTTGCTCGGCTACTGCAATTCCTTAGTG